CCCCCCCCCCCCCCCCTTCTTCTCCATAACTACATCATTTTCTAACTACTCTCTAAAAGGAGGTATGAGGTCTGGCGTAAGCCGGGCGACCCGTTTCATGGAAAATCAATCATATTTTGTACCAACACACCTGAAACCTAACTTGCGAAATGCCAGGAGTGCACTGAAGAAAACAAATCTACGAGGTAGAAAAAATAAAGTACCAGGATTTGAGGGCTTCAAAGTCTTGTGTCCCATGGCCGGTGCGCTTTTATTGCGTATGCGACCTATACAACGAATTGCGATGACCAGTTGATGCACAGGGTGTCCTAAAGTGCTGGGCACCTACACACTACCATGTAATTTGGGTTTCTGAACTGAGAAAGACGATGAAATCTACATACGCCTGCTTACATTATGCGCAACAACAAACTACATTCGAATTAAAAGCATCTTGCACACCCACGGATACAGACTCGGAGACCGTTTTTGAATCCCTCGCATGTTACACGCAGGTATCTCTCCTTAGTTTCTACTTGACCATCCGTCAGCTTTGCTTTAGAGGACTCTAAACTGGGATACACGCATGAGCTGTTTCCGTATATTTAGAGACTATCCCCCACAAATGGGTTGAAATCTGGCTAGCAGAAAGGTTACTCGATCAGGTCGTAGATCATCGCTCTAGTCAAAGTCGCAGTTTCTGAGCTTGCGAAATTAAACTTTTGGTATGTCGTAAGAGACGATTGAAAGGTCCTTCACATGTACTCCTTGTAGCATCACTTGGTTTAGGTATCTTCTGAATTTAAGAACAGAAGCAGGCAAGCAAGATTCCTGAAGTCATAATAGCAGCTGAATGTTAAGAGTAAGCTGCTATGGTAAGACCACTTCTCATTCTCTATACAGGTTCTCGACAGAAAGCATCAGATTGATCTATCGAATGCCGGTAAGTGATGCCAGGGAATAAAATGACGTCATTAACAGTTTCACGAGCATACCTCATAACCTGTTTTCTATTCCCAATTATACAGCGTCACATGGGTAACGTAGAGCTACTTCGCAAAACTAACAAAGAACGATCACGACGTGAGCTCGTTTCATGTGAATGTTGCAGGTATTACGAGTTCTTTCTCAAGTAGAAAACTAGATTTGACCTAGGGAATAAATAGCATCTATAGTCAAGATGCTAGCAATTATTTAGAGAGTATACACAGTTGTTGCATTTGCGATACATACAGAATGTCTTACATAGCAACATAGCGACTAGCTCAAAGAAAGCATCTATAAGGGTCAGAAAAGCTCAAAAGCTGTCGCTATGAGTCCATGGGCAAGAAAAAATAGATTCATAACAAAGTGGATGGTTCAAAAATGAACGATCTTGCCATGAACTTATCTTATGCACTGAAAATCTGGCTTGCAGAATGAAAAGTCTCCCGCACGGAGAGGCACTTCAGCTTTGATTGCCTCTAACGCGCACTTTCCGCTCTTCCATTCGCTTTGGGTTTCCATGACTGTTATCATTTACCCGAATCCGGCAAGGGCTTATGATTTCGTACGTGATCAGTTGACTGCAGGGAGGGGGGGAAACCATCAACAAGTACCAACTAATCAACCACTATTCACAGCGAAGTGTTACGATTCTGAACCATGCTTGACTGGTTAGCTTAGTGGGCTGGTGCTAACAGAGGGTTTCAGTGAGCGCAAGAGTATTATAGCATAATTTCCAACTTTCCCGCACCATTCAATGCCAATTTTGTGTTATTTCGCGGCTATAATTAGTATTTATGTAATCACTTATGGCACAGTGCCTCCTTTGACTACATCGACTAAGAGTACGTATGTATAAACAAATGAAGCTACTCACGGTTCGGTAAGAATTAGATTGTCTGTTATGTGATTGGTGAGACGGACCCACACACAACTAGGAGACTCGGCTCTCAGTACGTGCACGACTGCAGTCCTTACGAGTGGAATCCGAAGAATCTGAATATATCAACTCACTACTTTCTACTGATCCTTTTGATGATAGCTTTGTAGAAAAAATCGGATTTTAAAGGTGAGGTGTTGAGGTGCGAATATCCCTTTCAAATATACACACTAAATTGGGTGTGGTGCGATTCACGCGCCAGTATAATGAGATCATCGAACAAAACACGCTAAAACATCATACCTACCATCATAACGAAAGAAATAAGCACTGATAAGTAGAATAAGTAAAGAAATAACCAACTGTACACGTTTACAGAAGGATTGCGTTTTCTAGGACCAAAAA